GACGGAGCCTCCGCAGCAGCCCCGGCGTCGGGCATCGCCCTTTACGGGCAGGGGAAGGGCGGGAGGAGGCTCACGGGCCTTCCCGTGGGATTCCCCCCCACGGGAGGGGGCGCCCAGCGGCGTGGCGTCGCGCTCCTGGGCGCGCCTGTGGATGCGCTGAGGAGCGACCTGGGCATCCTCGGGGATGTTCCCTACGTGCTCTTGTGTCAGCAAGGAGATCCACGGCATTCAGCTGGGACAAGGGACGAGCACAGGTTAAAAGGCCCGGGAAAGAGAAGACGTGATCTTCATTTCACTTCGTTGTGGCAAGAGAAAAATCACTTCCTCCCACACAGCAAAGTCAAAAATAGGTGAAGAGCTCTTTGTGCAAGCCTATGCACATGGGAAAGGTCTGTGAGGTTATTTATCAGTGTTTATACTGAGTATATAAATAGAGTTTAAATCGGAAAGTTCATAATACCATTTTTAAATCTGCTGGTCACTAGTGCAATCAGCAATGTATATGCCACTTCTCAAGTACAGGTGTAGACACTTACTATAGCGAGCAGTCCCAAAGACATAGAAAAACAGTGAAGCTATTTTTATGCACAGAGCCAGTCATGTGTGCAAAATGGTGAAGTGTCAATGTCTTATAGCAAAAAAAAACCCAACCGCAAACCCAACAAAAAAACCCCAAGCGCACAGCATCCTAGTACTGCTGAGTTTGCAAGAGAAGTACCAAACCTGTAAAGATTTGTGCGCAAACTTAACTTGCACAAAGCTAATCAATAACTAGTGCACAAATATGCAAAATTAAGTGCCCTTTTTTTGTTGTTGTTTTTGGGTTGGAACCTCAAAGCTGAATTCTCGGGCCTTTAATTTGATGATTCCTTGGAACCAGTTTTCGCAGGATTACATATATCATTCACGTTTCTTGCCGTGGATAGTGGCTTAATGCATGTGACTATGTTTCCCCTAGTGGTTTACTCTAACCACTGCATGAGGTTTTTTTGCTTTTAACCCAAGCAGACCTTGTTTTTTGGAGATGAACACCTTTAGTTCATTCTTAGCAGAGAAATGTAGCTGATGTGTATATATATGTGTACACACACACAAGTAAACACATATGTATGTTTATATGTGTATATGTGTGTGTGTGTTCATGATATATTAGAATAGTAGCAATCCCAGTGACTCCAGGTGAGGTCTGTGATGTGAGAGAGGCTCTTCT